CCCTGACCCCATTCCTGACCCTTTTTCCCGCCCTCGCCCCGGTTCAGCCCCAATTCCCAACTTTCGTCCCCAAACCGGGACCGATTTGTCCCCTGCGCTCCCCCGCGTTCCTCAAATCCCAACGATTTCCCCCAAACTCCCCCAAACTGCCCCAAATCTCGGCCTGGGCGGGGTCCGGCAGAGCCCTGGGCTGGGCCTGGACTTTCCCGCCAAATCCACACATTTTCCCGCCAAATCCCCGCACTTTCCCGCATTTCTGGACCATCCATGATCAATTCTACTGGGGTTGAAAAGGAGGAAATTTTGGGGTGAAAATCGGCGATTTTGGGGTCAGGAATCACCGCTGGACACCGTGACGATGACTCCTCTTCCCCAGTAGTCAATACGAGCACACGCAGAGCGGTGCCATTTTGGGTAGATAAACCCGGCTTTGGCCATTTTGGGCACTTTGCTGAGCTGGGGCGGGGTTGGGACAGAGGGTCAGGAATGGGGACAGGGGACTGGGGGAGGGGCTGAGATTTGGGACAACGGTGGGGGCGGGGCCAATAGCAGCAGAAACAGCACCACCAGTACTGTAAGATTTGGCGCAGAAATAGGAGCCGGAATCGCCGTCCCTGAGGTCACTCATGGTCAGCGTCACCGAGCTCTGCCCGTTGTCCCTGGCGATGGTCACTCGGCCCTTGACCGATGGTCCATAGAAGGTGCTGCCACTGCTGTCGATCTGTGCCACGTAATCCAATCCCTGCCCGGGGCTCTGCCGGACCCAGCCCAGCGCGAATTTCCCAAAATCGAAGCCGGAGCCGCGGCAGACGAGGGTCAGTGACCGTCTGGGTGACCCTGTTGGGGTCCGGCGGTGACCTCCGGCCACGGGGGGGTCACTGACCTTCGTCTGCCGCGGCTCCGGATTCGATTTCGGGAAATTTGACATGGCCTGGGCCCGACAGAGCCCCGGGCAGGGATTGGAGTGGCTCGCGGGGATCAGCAGCCCCAGCGGTTTCAGCAAGTACTACGCACCATCGTTCAAGGGCCGAGTGACCATGGCCAGGGACAACGGGCAGAGCTCGGTGACGCTGACCATGAGTGACCTCAGGGACGGCGATTCCGGCTCCTATTTCTGCGCCAAATCTGCTGATGGTTATGGTGCTTATCCT